CTGAACAGACTGAAACCAAGGCTGCCTTCAGGGGCCAACTGGAAAGGAATAAAAGGGGAGCTGTGGACCAGCTGATGGTCACAGTCCTGGCCGAGCCCTCCTCCCTTGGCTCCTACCCTTGGTGCCCAAGCAGAATGAAGACTCAGACTCGCAAGAGCTGCTGACTTGTTTTGTTTTTGGAGAGAGGATGAAATTCGGGATGTTTTGAATGCATTATTAATACAAATCTAATCACAAGCTAATGGCTGCCAAGTCACATAGCTTTCCTGCAAGCTGAGTTAGTGCTCTCCCTCCAGGTTATATTTTTAAGCAAGTTAAGTCAGCATGGGTTTCTACAGATTATCCAATGTTTTACCCAGCAGGTACACCACAGAGAAGGGGAACATGGGTGTCCCTGGTACACTCTCGCTCACTCACTCTCTCTTTTTCTCTGTCTCCACCTATTTGTATCCCACTCTCTTTGTTCTTACTACTTCTTCCCACTTCCTGATGTCATGTTCTGTGATTTGGTTAGCATTTGCTGGCACCCCTGCCCCCAAAAGGGATAAATTTCACACGAAACCATGGGTTGGTGTGCAGCCCCCTAGACCTTGACTATATCTAGTACACAGTAGCTAGTCAATAAGTAGCTGTTGGGTGAATGATGAATGGTTCATACATCCAACTGCAATGCCCTGATAGAGTTGGGTCACAGGGCTGTTAAGCCAGAGCCTGACATCTAACTTCTACTCATTCCTGAGGCTGCTTCAGGCCGCAGAGAACCAGAGGAGTCTCCATCCAACAGTTTTAAGCAGGGACAAAATACCCACTCCTTAAAGGACTACAAAAGGGAAAGTAAATACACCATCATCCATGGTATCTATTCAGCTGCATGAAAACACCGGCTTCTTATTTGAACTCATGTAAAGCAAGAATCTGCATTAAGAAAGCATAGCTGAGCAAACAGCCCCAGGACCATATCTGCTGACACACAGTGCTATACTGAGCCTGCCGCAGAGCACTAGCTCTGTCCCGTTCTCTAAGAATCCTGCACAAAGCAAATGAGCAAGGGAGGAGGGAGCAGGGGCAACAATGCCTGGGGACTTGCAGTTCTTGCTGAAAAACAAAACGTTGAGCTCTAAATCCAGCTCTCCAAAGCACAAGGGAGGTCTGCTGTGGCAAAGAAAGCTGGAACTCCTTGGATGGAACAGAATCATTCATAAGATAGCACTTAAAATAAGCAAAGCTCCAGTTAGCTACATACACATGTTTTCAGCCACATGCTATCTGAAGAAAATAGCTATGCAGCATGCATGCCCTAGTTTAAGCCAAGCCTTGAATTCTACACAAAAGTTTCCTTCCTCTAGCTGTCTCAGTGTTCAGACAGAAATACATTTCCCTTTAATTGAGAATCATATATATATATATATATATATATATATATATAAGCCACTCCAGGCCCTTTATAAAAGCACTTACTTTAAAAGAACAGGACAGATTAAGTATTCAAAACAAGAGCGCTGTCTTAAAAAGCAGGCTTAGAATCTGTTCAGTGGTTATGGCCTTGATTTGTGCTTGCAGCTCTGGTCCTGCTGGGCATGGGAAGGGAAAGGCTGGCAGGCTGCATGGCGTGGTCTTCTGGGGCTGCTGCGTCAGGATGACGCTCTGGCAGTGTTACTGGGACAGGCTGTAAGCGAGTCAGCAGGACAGTTTTATTTCTGGGCTGAATTTGCTGCTTCCCAGGGATGGGAAAATATCAGTGGCTGATCTACCTCCACACATTGGGCAACAGCAGAGGCGCCCCAGATGATGTGGGCTCTGCAGGGAGGTGGGAAGGGGAAGGCATTGTCCCCCGTCGGAAGAGCACAGCAGCTCCCCAAAAGAAATTCACCTAAAGATGATTGGTCTCCTTGGGGTTGCTCCTTGTTCATGCCAAGGGCATGACTCAGCTCAGCTAGGGCACGGTGTGCTTCTGCAGCCCAGGAAGGCTGAGCCTGGGGACAGTCTCAGTGACTGCAGAGAGCTGCAGGAGAGGCCAATGTAGTCGCCCAGTCCACGAGTCAAGAGCCTGAAACTACACTTGCACTGAGATGTAAGCTCTCACATAGCTATCTTAAGACTCATCCCATGGCACCAGATTCTGAGACCTGAGAACTGTGGGGAGTGAATGGGAAGTAGGGAAGCCACCAGTCTTGTAATCAAGGCCCTGTAGCACTAAGTACAGAGGATTAATGATGTAGTAGATTTTAAAGCTTCTGATGATGTTGTCCATTGAGACCTGGATGCTGCCATATTGCCCAAAACAACACAGTCAGTCAATGGATGCTTAGGGATGTGTGCTGTGGGACTCAGACGCCAGAGGGTATGCACCCATTAGTACATTCTAGGCAGAGAGTACTTACTCTCCAGACTTGGTGAGGTTGAGTAAGGTGTAGAAAAACACAGGCAAATTTTGTTTGGAAGATTTTTAAGAAGGCAAGTTATGGGGCCTTAGATTTCCTTCATTGAGCAGAGTTTGAGGTCAACGAAGATGGACTGACAGAAAATGTTCCTTGCGAGGAGAGGCCATAGCAAGTGGAGGGGAGGCTGAGTGGAGCCTGGGGCTCTGCAGACCTCTTCCATCTCTGCACAATCCCAAATAACACATGGATCTCTGGGAATAATACATGGATCTCTGGGAGTAACACATGGATCTCTTGGAATGAAACAGGATCTCTGGGCTTTACTGTGCACATGTCCATGCTAGCAGCCTTCCGACCTACATGCTCCATTCCTCCCAGGCCCATTACGCACCTAACATATATGCTGGCACAGAGACTTCCAATGAGCCATGATGCTCTTCCTCTCTTCCATTTCTCTTCTGCCACCCCTCTACCTAAGCCAATAAATGTCCATGAAGAACCAAGCCATGGCAGTCTCTCTCTGTTGGAGCCACTTCTAGCCAAGGCCTGAAGAGCCCTAAAGAACTGTTTCGTTCTGCTTGTTGGACAGTGTGGCAGACTCATACACGTGCTGTTCAGATATCCCAGAGAACATACCGCCCAGCTGCTAGGCTGCTCTCAGCTGACAGACCCCAGCTGCCAGCTCCTTCCTGTACCCCACCCCTACCCCATAAACCTCTGGTCTTCTCAGGGCATCCTGAGTGATGATGGAGCTGGGTGGGGATGCACAGGCTTACCCATTCCCACCCACACAGGTGTCTCAGAACAAGAAGGTTTGGCTCCTGAAAGCCCATGGGATTGCAGGCCCCTGCACAGGTCTATCTCTCTCCTTCCTCCTTTAGAAGCCTAATTTCTTTCTGGCACAACTGAAACCAAGGCCCAAACCAGTGCCTTGAGTGCAGAGGATACCATCAGACACCAGTCTTTAGCAACAGGGGAGAGCAGTTGCTCCTGTGTTTTCTGGATCCTGAATGAAATGTCCCATGATGAGCCATGTGCAGGCTTAACATTGTTTTCAGGTTCCAGGAGTTTTGTTTTAAGGCAATATTTGTGTCTGAAAATGCACCTAACTGGAGACTCCCTTGATTGAGAAGCCCTAACTTTCCACGGATACCAGCGTTGGAGGGAAACAGGAGAGTATCCTGTCCAAATGTGAAGTGTACCCAGAAGGAACTAGCTGGCATTATAAAAAGACATCTCAGTACAGCTTTGCAGCCAAAGAGAAAACAGAAAACGCCAAGGGGTTGCAAAAAGATGGGAACACTGTGCATTGGGGGAAGTATTTTCTTAGCACAAGTTAAGCCTCTCCCAAAGGGAGCCCCCCAGAGGGTAGAGTAGCTAAGTGCACTGAGAGGAAGACAGGCTCTGGAGAGTTCTGCCAAGGGACTGGGGAAGAGGCTCCTTCAGTTCCTGTACTGAGGCTGTCCCTGGTCATCTGGAAGCACTGGACAAGTATGCCTCTCCTGCCTCCTGAGCCCTGGTGGGCATAACATGCCCCTTCTCTAAGTGCACTGATCAGGATGTACTAATGAGGGAAGCTGCCCTCTGTGCAAGGCAGCACAGTGTCTCGTGGCAGAGCAGAAGTTGCGTGTGTGTATGGCTTTACTGTCCTCCTTCCTGCAGGGTTATTGCAAGGCTTAGTGGAATGTGCTCAAGAAAGTGCTTCGTAATACTAAGTGTTATGGAAATGTGAACATTTAAATTTTTTTTAAACAAAAACCTCACGTTATGATTGGGTGAGGATTAGCAGAGCAGGGCTCCAAGGACAAGAGTCCAGGTCCAACAGACCAAACTCAGATCAGCTTCCTGCTACTCACTCACTGGCTGGGAGACAGGGAGCGGCTTCAACCTCCTAGGGCCTGGTTTCCTCACAGGTAAAGCGGGAACAATGAACATACCTACCTCCTTGGGTAGTAGTGACTCGGGCAGGGGAAGTATGGGATACAACCCATGATGCACTGTGCCCAATATGTGCGAGTTGTGATTACTGTAAACCAGGACTGTCACCAAAAGTTGGAAGACCACAAAACACTGGAAGGATGGGACTTGGCAGGATGATTCAAGGGAGCTAGTGGAAAAGGTTTCCAAGGATAGCACCCAGAAAAAAAGAGAGAACGAGACCCATTCCGGTGACCCATTCCGGTGACCCAGCAGCTAGCCAGCAGATACATGATCGGGTCAAGAGGGAAGCTGCCGTTCTGGTCCTGCGGTCTAGTTCCACATGTCTACATGAACTGTAAGGTCATTACTCACAGTCCAGTGGTACTCTGGGCTATAGTTCTGCAAGCATGCCCATCCAGGCACAACTTCCCTTGTGACAACTGTACATTCACAACACACCAGGGGGACTTGACATGCAAAGAACAAGCATCTCAAAAGGAAGTACAGTCAAATTCTTGGAAGATGCAAGTGGTGGGGAGAGATGAGTAATGGATCCCAAATGCTCAGGCCACGGTCAGGACATTTCCAGGGCTGGGCAACCACAGGGGGCTCCGGGCTGAAGCGCATTCCATTATGAGTGGAGTGGGTTTATAATGGAATGACATGGATGGTTGTTTAGAATCAGAAAAGCACACTGACCTTCACACTACACAGGTGCAGCAGCATAATGACCCACCACGTGTACACGCATCAATTCCTAGGGAAAGTCCAACGAGGTTAACTTAGTGTGTATCCCAAGCAAACAATATCAGTGACATCACCCCCACCACGAACACCATCACTCCCCCCCACCAAGATAGCTGATTTGTAAAAGTCACATAAGGACCACATTCATTTTAATAAACAAGTAAGATACAGCAAGCAATATTACTCCATGCCAAAAGTGATACGGATTTCAAAATGTAACCATAAGGGGTAAGAATCATAGAGCTAGAAAAACAACCAGGATTCCATGAGAGGATGTGGCAAGGAGGGGAAATCTTGCACAACTGAACCTGAAATTTTCCCTAGATGAGCGCTGCTTGTAACATTCCTCATCCACAAGAGAACTCTACCTACAACCAAACTGCTGAGATGACATAAAAGCCATCACTTTACCACCTAGGCAATATCTCAAAGGTGAAAGACTCAATGCTTCTTTATCTGTACAAGGGGTCTTACAAAATTCTTGGAAATGTGTATACGAATTCAAAAAAAAGTGCACACCAAAGTAAAATGATCTTTCTCTTTTTTAAGATTTATTTTTATGGGAAAGGCAGATATACAGAAAGGAGGAGAGACAGAGAGGAAGATCTTCCGTCCGATGATTCACTCCCCAAGTGGCCAAAACAGCTGGAGCTGAGCCAATCCAAAGCCAGGTGTCTGGAGCCCCTCGGGGTTTCCCATGCAGGACATGCAGGAACAGGGTCCCAAGCCTTGGGCCGTCCTCCACTGGTTTCCCAGGCCACAAACAGGGAGCTAGATGGGAAGTGAGGCTGCTGGGATTAGAACTGGTGCCACATGAAATTGCAATGCTTTCAAGGCAAGGACTTTAGCCTAGCGGCTAAAGTGCCAGGTCCTAAAGCGGTCTTTTAATTCTAGTTTCCCAGAACTTTCTGCAGAAGGGCCCTCTTGTCTAGTGGAGTCTGGACAAGACCAGAGTACTGAAGAGTCTCTTAACACCCCAAAAGTAAGCAGCCTGGTATTCCTGGTCATGCCTTTTGGCACTTTTGTATAAGGAAACCGTGTCAGACACTAGTACAAAAGCACTTGAACAGAGACGTTTCAAGAACAAGAATATTGCTGATGGTCTCCAAGAGACTCCTCTTGAAATCCTCTGGATATTACTTTGGCTCATGAGTCTTTCTTCTGATTTTATAACTTCATCTTCCCCTGGAGTTAAAGTTGCCACAAAATTAATCAATATGATCTAATTGTGAGAAAAACACGTCAGGATGTCATCATTCTGGTGAAATCTGAAGTTTTGTTGATACATAAAGTTGTATAGGAAATGAAGAGAAAGCTTACATTTGGGGTACATGGATTATGTTCTTTGAACCTATCTTGACAAAAATTTTGAGTAAGGGAGAGAGAAGAATCCAGCAATTGCCTACTGCTCTCCTGCCTGCGCCACTGCCGCGTGCTGCTGCAGAACTCAACAGTGAGGAGCATGGCTCAGCATTCTCTCCTGCAGCTCTCTCTCTTGGAGCCAGTGGCTTCCCAGCTGTGCAGCCCCTTTTGCATTTGGAGGCTCCCCTGCATTCACGTATCCCAGGTGGAGGATCTAAGATCCTCCCACATTCACCCTAGGGGCCTGTATTCCAGCCTATTCTCTGAATTCTCGAGTGTCTGTGGTAGCTCAACACGCTCGTCTGAAGCTAGTACCCCTCATAGTCCCCTCGGGACATTTCATGGTCACCTCAAATGTGATGAAACAATACAACATCTTCATTATCAAACCATACCTCCTCTCCCAAAATCTCAGACTCAGCTCTGGCTCCTCTGTGCACACACAATCTCCCTGACAGGGACTTTGAAATCCAACACGACACCTCTCTTGCTGCAATCCTTTAGCACATCTAAGCACTGACTTCATTCGTTGATTCCCATTTATGCTGCTAGAGTTCACATGTTTCTCACTGCTTCTCCCTCCTTCAGAGTGGCCCAAGCAACCGCAACCTTATCCAAGTGCAATCAATCCTCTTCAAAGGGCTCAACACTCTCTTTTCCTCCAAAAATTCATTCTCTGCGGTGGACAGATGCCTTGTTGACAGAAAAAAATCTTGGGGAGGGTGTGTGATGCAACAGTTAGGAAGCTGCTTAGGGGTGTCTGCACATCCCGATGAAAGGAAACTAGCTAGCTTTTGTTGAAATGCGTCTGTCACCCATTTGCTTTGGAGTTTTAATGCTTCCTTCAGGCTAAAGTTCTAAATATGAACTTGAGACATATTTCATACAAACGTACAAAACAGGACCAGTTCTGACCCATCCCTGGCCTTACCACTGCCTCTACTTCATGTTAGGCCCTCTATTCCACACCTGCGGTGCTCTGGCCACTTGGGCAATCTTGCAGTCTCTGAAGATCCTAACTTCTTCCTCCCCTCGGCCCGATATGGGCTTCCTTCAGCATTTTCTTTTCCTCCTATGCCCCATACATTCCATGACAAATGCCCCAGCAGCAACACCCAGTAATAGCTCAACAGTTGAAACAATAGGTCTAATGAACTATTTATGAAATTAAGTGTTCAGTGTGTGACTTGCAAAGCTGACTCAGGTTCTCTGTGGGCTGGGTCCATTGTCCTCTGCACTTAAGTCCTTAAGTCAGAGCTGGACACACGGATGTGCCTAGTGTGTTCTATGAGAATTTGATGAAGAATAAAGGATCAGGAACTACTGAAGTACTTAAGAATTCATGGTTTACATTTAGAGTATGTAAAAGGAACCTGTTCCATCTGTCCAAAACCAAATATTGATCCAGCGAATCGAACACATATGCACATTAGGGAACGAAGCAGAAGAGACGGGAGAAAGGCTATTACCTGCATCTATTTGGCATTATCTGTTTAGTATTCAGTCCTGGAAATACCAATATATTTCACTTTACAGTCTACTTGCTTTTGCTGTTGTTGTTTTAATTTTGTTTTGTTTGTATCGTGTCCTAATGAAACTGGATTCAGAAACAGAAAAGCAAAGAGAGCACTTTGTCAGGAAAGTGAATATGAATTACAAAGGATCCAGTTAGAACCTAACCCTCACACCCATCCCGTCAACAAAGGCCTGCATGGGATCCGCTTCTCTCAGAAATAAACGGAGCCCAAAGAAGCCAAGGAATCAACTGGAAGCAAATGATCTGTTCCCATGCAGCAACCAGGCTACTGCTTCTGCCTGCCTTCCACCTATGCGCAGCTCCACACAGCAGCCTTTCTCTTCATCGCTGCCCCAGGAGAATCAGTAGCTAAGCTGTCCCTTGGGATGTGTGCGGAGGAGTACCTAGTTTGAGTTCCAGCTTCTCCAATTGCAATCCAACTTTCTGCTAATGCACACTTTGGGAGGCAGCAGGTTCTTGCATCCCCGCCACCATGTGGGAGGACCCGTATGGAGCTCCTGGCTTAGGCCTGGCTGTCTCAGGATTTGGGGAGTGACTCAGTGTTTAGGTCCTCTTCTTGTACAAACCCTCTCTTTAAAAAAAAGTCTTGGAAAAACAAGTCAGGCTTTACTTGAACAGTATGGATTTAGTGTCACAGCCAATGTGCTTCTCCTTTTAAAAAATAATTACTTGCATCATATATTTCTAATTTTTATTTATTCATTGGGAAGGGCTTTAAGAAGTTGCTGGGAAATGCCCGTTGTCTTTAATCCTTTCTGTGAATGAGCATTCTGAAGTCCCATGTGCATATGTCCGGTCTGAAGGAACTTCATGATAAACACCAATCCACAGAGGGAAAACAAAGATGGCCTGACTTCCAAGCCTCCAAGTCCCTTGACCTGCCCATTTTGAGAACCATCTTGGTTTTAAGATTAGCTCCAAGATGGCCACTTTGACCTTAGAGGGGCGGGGCTGACCCCATGAGCAGGCACCATACACACCACCACCAATGGGCGTGGCCTCTGCCCTCCAGCCCTTATTCCTCAGATGCCAGCTCTGAGCGCAAGAGGGTCTCAGAATAAGGCATCAGGCTATGTCTCAGAGGTGAGATGGTAAGCAAGGATTGGGGGCAGCGCACAGTCAGTCCTCACTATCAAACCAGAGTCAGGGCCATGAGAGCCCCTCACTCCCAGTTCCATGCTTCTCTGGGCTGTGATTGATTGCCGCTGAGCCCAGGGCTGTCTCCTCCCTCAACCTTCATGTTCCCTTTGAAGTCCATCTGTGACCGGAAATACTCCTGATAGAACTCCATGCTCAAATAACCGAACAACAAAACTGTCACCTAGGAATAACGCTGATTCCAGATATTCTCATCAAAATGAGTTTCAGTGACAGACCATCAAAACATTTTCCCTGTACAAAAAGCAATACAATGAAGCAGAATTATGAAAAGCATATGCGTTTCTCTCTGCCCTCAGCAATTAGAGGCTGCCTTCTCTCTGCCATCTCATTTAACTCTTCCATCATCAGTGTGCACATAAAGGCCTGCACAGTACTTTCCAGGCGAACAGAGAGAAAGAGGAAAGAGTGATGGATCACATTTCTACCTCTGTTTTCAAAATCTCCACCAGTTATCTTTGAGAGCTGGGGTTTGCTTATAGTCTTAGCAAGAAAAGCAAGCTCTTCAAGAACCAAGACAAAGAGCAGCTCAGACCACACCAGGTTTTATTACTTATCAGCATATGTGTGGCTCAGGTCTGGTGCCCTTCATGGACAGCGAGGCAGAGAGTGAGACCCCGCCACGAGCAGGGCCCACTTCCAGCCCCCTCTGCTTCCTGCTGGCCAGGCTGGGCCAATTCATAAGACCCACTGGCAAATCTGAGAACCAGGGTGCGGGACAAGCCAGGATGGGCCACAGTGCCAGCCAGTAAGCATTAGGGCCAGGACTGGGGCTGGCTGGTCTGGGTTGGATGGCAGCACCCACTGGCAAATGCCAAGGTGAGATGCATCATGTCAGACTGGGCTGAGATGCCCACCAGCACATGTGAGACCTGGTTGGGGCAAGCACGAATCTAGTAGGGAACGGTGGGGACTCTCCTGCTGGACCACCACTCCTGCTGGTGAGTAAGAGA